AATCTTTGACATCCATTGCTGTTTCGTATATTTCTAAGGATGATAATGAGCACACTTACACAGCAATACGGCATCATTGAATATAATCATGTTAACATTGATGGATTGTCTTCAATTTAGTGTAACTTCACAAGCCCAAACCTTTGACTATTATTTAAATCTAAAACAAGTCCTACAAGGAATGAATAATTTTTCACAGTCAGGGAAAATGACAGATCTGGCAAACAATGCTGCTCAAAATTTGATACAAGTCTTTTATACATCAATATAGTTGAGATTTAGTTAGCATTCAACTCAAACCTGTTCTTGCTGTTTTTCAGATGATTTTATTTGTGTGTTACTCTGATTTGGTTACTTGAACCTGCTGCATTAAGTCTGTATTTAATACTGTGAAAGGCACTATGTATTCCCATTTTGTGAGAGTTATGATCAGATTCATTTTTCTGAACATTACTCAGTGGTCCTTAATTAAAGCAAAAATGTTCATTTAAAACTTAGAAATACTGGAGCAAAAAGTTAAGCAATGTCTGCTGATCATGATGGTTATCGGTCTTTCATTTCGCTTACATATAAAAGGAGCACAATTTTATAAAAACAAAATGTTAATGATTTAGCTGAACAGCGTGTTTTATTCTTGCTTATCTCTGGTCTTTGTAATGCTGTAACCAAGCTTTGCTTCTTGTCCTTTTGATGCTTGAATTCTAACTTTTTTCCCTGCTTTTTGGGCAGTCTCCTTCAAAATGGTATTGGAAACTGGTGCCTGTAAGTGAGCTACTAACCTTCTATTTGTACTTCAGTCATTCTCCATTCTTCTAATTGAACAACAGCAATAAAGAACAAAACTTATTTTTTAAATCTACAGATAGTCTTTCTAATCAGGTTTATTCCTAGAGAATCCACCTTAAGCAATTAAAACTTTGTGAATATTGCAGAAATATCTGATTATTTTAAAAAACGTAAATGTACCAATGACTTATTGGAGCTATTGGCCTTCCCATTACTTCAGCTGCAAGCTCCAATCATGAATATTTACCATTTACAAAGCATGGGGTCAAGTTACACTAAAGACTAGTTTTGTTGTTCAGAAGATGCTTTGTTGTTTATTGCTGAAAGTATTAGGACATCAGAAAGCACTATTGAGTTTTCTGAAATTATTGTTTGAGAAATCCAAATGAATGTTCTGATTTTTGTTTAAGCACTAAGGGAACCATATTCTATATGTTGGATATAGTGCCTAAAAACAATGTATGCAGTTTCAAACTGATAGCTGAGAATATTGAATTTAGAAGTGAAGGCAATCTGAATCAATTGGAATATTCAGTAGATCCTTTTACTATGTGTGCTTTCAGACATTGAATACTTTTGCTACTCATTGGGGTGTTTCTTTGTGAGTTGTGCATGTGTTTAAATCCTCTTGAAGCAGTGTCCTTTCAATCATGTTTTGTTGTAGACATAGATGTATTTTTTTGAGAAAAATTCTTGGGACTTGTCAATAACGCTCATAATTTTCCAAATAAAAATGCAACTCAGTTGCTGATGTTTTCATTGGTAGTTAGTGTAAAAACATAAACAACACAAGCTACCTGTTGTCACCTTTGTACAGAACTACCATGCTTAGCTTCATATTTGTTTTCAGAAAAGCTGTTGATCTGATACCTGTTGTATGGTAAGTTTATTTGATGAATATGAAGAATCAAAACAGTGATCTTGTATTCCCAAATCTGAGGATCGGCACGAAGTCTATTACTCTCCCCACTCCCCTCCACCCTTTCCATTATAAAATTGCATCGCCTCAATCCTTTATTGTACAAATACAAAGTTTGGGCAAGCTTGAGGTCCTTTGACATTCCCCTTCTGAAGCTTACAATTTTCTGCATGTCTTTGTATCTTTCTTTGTTTCTTTCATGTCTTCTGTTTATGTTAGTATGATCTGATGCATGCCATAGCTCACTGCATGTTGAAACCAGTGGAATATGTTCGGGTGGTACAGTATGCGTCTTCAACTCTTTGTACAATGCGATGTGCACATTTTTAAATGATGCACCAACTTTAAAATCCTCAATGTTGCAGATTCTGCAGAATCTACTGCAAAGTGCTTTCAAAATGTGTGACTAGCTAGTGCTTCTGAGAGCTTAACTGAAAATTAATGCATGGTTTACACAATTTCCGAAAAATTACTAGGGAGCTGGAAACATCCTGTCATTTGGAAGTTATATCTCCTTTGTGCTAAGTGTAAATGTTTATTCAAAGTTCCTTAAACCAATTTGGTTATTTTAGTGTCAGTTATTGGAGTTTTGATTTATCACAGCAGGTTTGAAATATTTGTATTTTTCATTGGCACCCCATTGTCATATCATTGATTTCATACAAGAGCAGCAAGCCTGTTGGTGCAAGTATTTAAAATTTTACTTTAATATTTTTAATTTTTTATCTCGCATACCATGTTGCAAAATAGGCATTAAATTAGGTGCAAATAAGAGATGAGTTAATTTATGTATTTTTAGATTGTCTTCCACAGTTGGTCACGTGTTTGGTAAAAATTTGATTACATGAGTACTATTTTAACTTCGTTTTTTCAGAAACAGTGATTTAACTTTAGCTAAAATTATCCCGATGAGTAATGTAAAAATAGATGGTACGTTGACTCAGTTTTCTGAGCTTAACAAATCCAGTTGCCTAGCATTGATTCTTGTAGTGTTGGTTATGTATCCTCTAGCATTCTAACAAGCTAATAGTCACACAAACAGCAGATTCCACCCTTAGATCATTCATTATCAATACCATTTAATTATTAACTCATAATTATTTGGAACTCTTGGTTCATTGTCTCTCAACTGATTTCACCTTGATATGTGGATGTAAAGCAGATTAGCACTGTAGATTCTCCATGGCTCTATTAATCTAGGAAAGATAAATTAAAAAATGCTCTTTACGTAACAGTAAGCTAGGTTAACAATACCTTACAGATAAATTAACTATTAATGAAGCTGCTTAAATAAAATTTCATGAAAGAACCTAAGAAATTGTTTGTAACATTTTTTTAAGGAGGTGTCTTGGAATTTATGCAGTGGTTTCCGTTACTTGAACTATTGTGCTTGGCAGTGCTACTCTGATTTTTCTGAATAAATATGTCATTTTTAATTTGACTTAATATTTAGATTCTCCTTTGTGCTCTAGACATTTGAAAATCTTGTCACTGAAGTTGTAGCTATACTATAATAGCTGTGTAATAACAAACCATTTTTGTGCTTCTCTGAAGCGTGAGTATATTAAACACTAGGATTTAACTAGCTTAAAGCAAAATAGCTTACTTTGATTCTGAACTTCTTATGAAATGAATCTTTTTTGAAGTGCAGATATAGTTAAATAGACACAAGCAGTAGCCAGATTGTGCTCAACTTGATCCTACAGATGATAAATGGGGGAAGTTTTGAATTATTGGTTGAGGGCAGAAGGTTGAGCAGGATATTGGGTGAACTCTTTGTTTTCGGTGGCTGAACAGTTTATGGTCATCTGACATATGCCATTGTTTAAATGTTTCCCCTGAAAATTTATACTTTCAACAATATAGTCCTCTGGCAGACTAAACTATGTTCTCAAATCCTTGAAGTGAAACTTGGTTCTTATACCTTACTGATTTTGAGACAAGACAACTACCATGGCATTAGGCTTTCATTCTTTACATAAGCTTTCGAAATCTTTTGAAAACAGAAGTTTTGAGTGTAGAATGTTCAACGTGTAGTTTGAAAATTGGTTGCTTCAGTTTAGCAATAAATAAGAAGTTTAACATGACCAAAGAGTTTGATCTGCTATTTCTTTGTTCCCCATTACTACTTCTCCAGCCTCATTTACCAGCAGTCCAATGTCCATTCTTGCCTCTCCTACCTTTCTATATATCTAAGAAAGCTCTTGCATTCTTGTTTTACATTGCTAGCTAACTTACCCTCCTGTTTCATTTTCTCCCCCACTTTTTAGTTTTTTTAGTTTTTTTTAGTTATCCTCTGCCGGTTTTTAAAGGTTTTCCTTATTTCAGGAATACACATTTTCTTGGAGAAGTCTGCTTATGGCATATTTAATCAATATAAATAATATCAATCAATTAAAATAGTGAATCATATTGCCACTAATAAGCTTTACACCACCTAATGTGATTTCAGGGTAAACAAAATTTTTAAAAATTCTGGGTGTGTACTTCAAATTCAAAAATATATGTTGGCAAAGTTGATGTAAAGGAACTGTCTGATTTATTTTGTGGGAAACAGAGTGAGGAATAGATTCTTATTTGACCAGATTTGGGCACACCCTTACTATTAAATTCAGCAAAATAACACATGCCAGCATCATTGGGGTTATACCATAATTACTGTTAATTTGTTCTTTTTGCATGGTTCAATAATGTGATTTTAGAATAGAGTTAGGATTAGGGATTGGGATTATTTTACTGAAGCTTCTTTTTAACCTTTTTTGTATTCCTGGATAAACACTGTTTGCCAATTTCACTGTAAAATAATTGTATTGGCAACAAACAGGTCAGCATTCTGTTTTCCTTGTTGTATTGTGCAAGCAACCACTGTACTGCAAAACTGCTTGCTTTTCCATAATTGCACAGAAGTACAGAAAAAAAATGTAAGTTAGCTTATAATAGGGCAAGTTATCAACTCCATTTTTTCAGAGGCTGTTTTGCAACATTTCTGTACATGATTGCTATTATTTCAAATCCTTCTGAGTATGTTCATCCAGATAGCCTCTTGCATATCTTGAGTATCACATTAGGTACACAGTCTATTGAACAAATACCAGTCCTGTGAGAGTGCAGGGCATACTGGTCCTGAGAAAGCCTGGGACTGTTGAAAGGAAATCTTGGATAGAAAATAACAGTTTGTATTTGACATAAATATATTGCTTGCAGAGGTGATTGTATACAGTACCACCTAAGTTACTACAACGTTATCTAATAGTTACGATTTTTAAATTAAAACTTATCTTCATTTTTATGTCAGGTCCGTTATCGACGAGATCACCCCTTGAACAAGCAGTTGCCATTTTTCCCTTTAATGGAAGATTTAATGAGGGATGTGTGTGATGGCTGTTCACTTCTGGCAGTCATTCACTATTACTGCCCGGAACTCATGAAGTTAGAAGGTACTGGTGTTTAGAAATAAGCTCTATCCTTGGTTTATATCTCTTCTGCTCTTCCACTTCATTCTGTCTGAATATACTTCACTAATCATGTCTTCAGTGTTTATTTACAAATTAAAGACTTCAAATGAAAACATTTCCGTATTCCCAAGCATTTTGTTATTTAATTCCTCCTTTATGCTGTATTATTATGTATGGGAAGATGCAAGCTGGGAGCAGGATGTTTATGCCAAATGAGTGGTGTTGGTGTTTGAGCTCTCACTGGTTATGACTCATTTTTGATTTTGTATAAAACCACCAGTTCCAGTGTGTCTATTTATATAGCATGTTTCATTTTATACTTAATTTAAAAACAGAAACTGTTGGCTTTAGCTGGACTTGGAGTTGGTGAACCACACAGTGGAAATATGAAGACAAAATGCTGGAGAAATTCAGCAGATCTGGCAGCATTTGTGGATAGAGGAACTGAGTTAATAGTTTGAGTTGATGTGACATTAACTTGGTTCCCCTATCCACAAATGTTGCCAGACCTGCTGAGTTTCTCTAACACTTTCTCTTTCTATTTTGAATTTCCAGCATCTGTAGCATTTTGTTTTTAAGTGCATATTGTTAGGCAAAGATTGGGAAAAGGTAACTTTAACAAATATTCAGGTGGAATATGTAAGCAGTTAAAATATTATGCATCCATAGTTTCTTGGATATGGGGCTCAAAACTGCTCAGAATATTACAAAAGAAGTTTGACCAGAACTTTAGACAGCCTCAGCAGTACATCTCTGCCCTTGTATTCCCACTTGGAATGACTGCTAACACCAGAGTGGCAGGTAGCTGGGTGGTCAACACTACTGCCTCACACTGTTGGGGACCAAGGTTCGATTCCACCTCAGATGACTGTCTGTGTGGAGTTTGCACTTTCTCCGTGTCTGTGTGGGTTTCCTCCCGCATTTCAAAGACATGCAGGCCATTCTAAATTGCCCATAGTATCCAGTAATGTGCAAGCTATGTGAATCAGCCATGGGAAATGCAGGGTTACAGGGATAGGATATGGGGTTTGGGCCGAATAGCCTGCATTCCACAGTGTAGAGTTTCTACGAATCTATTGCATTTGTCTTCCTAACTGCTAACTGAACCTCTGTGTTAACTTGAAGAGAATCCTGAATTAAGACTCCCTGGTCCCTTTGTACTTCAGATTTGTGAAGCCTTTCCGCAATTAGAAAATGGTCTGCACTTCTTCCTATCAAAGTGCTTAACCTCACATATTCCCACATTGTATTCTATCTGTCGCTTCTTTGCCCACTCTGCTAGTCTGTCCAAGTCCTTCTGCAGCATCTCACTTCCTCAACACCGAGCTACTGTCTACCTATTTTTGTGTCATCTGCAAACTTAACAAGAATGCCCTCAGTTGCTTCATCCGGATCATTAATGTACAATGTGAATAGTTGAAGTTCCAACGTTGACCCCTGTAGTACCACTAATCACTTGCTACCATCCTGAAAAAGACCCCTTTTTCTTCAATCTCTGCCTTCTGCCAGTCAGCCAATCCTCTATCCATGCCAGTACCTTGCCCCTAATGCAGTGTGCTCTTATTTAGCAGCCTCCTGTGCGGAACCTTATCAAAGGCCTTCTGAAAATCCAAATAGATCACGTCGACTTGTCTCTCTTTTGTCTAACTCGCTGATTACCGCCCCAAAGAAGTCTAATAGATTTGACAGACATGACCTCCCTTGACGAAGCTGTGTTGACTCTATTTTATTTTATTTTATTTTACCGTGCATTTGCAAATATTCTGCAACCTCATCTTTAATATTGGACTCTAAAATCTTAACAGCGACCAAGATCAGGCTTATTGGCCCATAATTTCCTGTCTTCTGCCTCCCTCCCTTTGGGTGTTACATTAGCCAGTTTCAAGTCTTCTGGGATCCTCCCCGACTCCAGTGATTCCTGAAAGATCACCACTAATGCCCCCACAATTTCCACAGCTATCTCCTTCAGATCTGTGGGTTGTAGTCCATTTGGTCTGGACGATTCATCCACTTTCAGACCATTCAACTTTTCCCCAGCACCACCACCCTTGTCACTGGCCACTAGTCGCCTCTGTCGCCCAACTCTGTAGAAGTTCTGGCAAAGCTACCGGTGTCTTCCACTATGAAGACTGATGCAAAGCATCTATTCAGTTCCTCCGGCATTTCTTTGTTCCACATTACAGCTTCTCCAGCCCCCTTTTCCAGCAGTCCAATGTCCGTTCTTGCCTCTTCTACCTTCCTGTATATGTAAAAAAGTCTTGTATTATATTACGAGCTGGCCTACCCTCATTTTTCATCATCTTCATCTCCCCGCCATTTGCTTTTTTAAGGTTTTCCAATTCCCTGGCTTCCCACTAAATTTTGCCACATTGTATCCTTTTTCTTTTGCTTTTATACTGTCTCTCACTTCCCTTATCAGTCATAGTTGCCTCATCCTTCCCTTAGTATGTTTCTTCTACCTTGGGATGAATTACTGCTGTGCCTCCTGAATTGCCTGCACAAACTCCTGCCATTGCTGCTCCACCATCTTCCCTGCTAGAATTCCCCCTCCAATCAACTCTGGCCAGCTCCTTCCTTGTGTCTTTATTAGTTGCTTTTATTCAATGGAAATACTGTTACATCTGATTCCAGCTTCTCTCCGTCAAACTGCAGAGTGAATTCTGTCAAAATAGGGTCACTGCTCCCTTGGGTGCTTTCACTTTAAACTCTGTAATCATGTCTGCCTCATCATGAGTCACCAAATCCAGAATTACCTGTTCCCTAGTGGGCTCTCACAAGCTGTTCCAAAAAGCCATTTCATAGACATTCCACAAATTCCTTTCCTTGGGACCTGCTACCAAAGTGATTTTCCCAATCCACTTGCATGTTTAAGTACCCCATGATTATTATAATAGTGCCTTTCTTACATGCTTTTTCTATCTCTTTCTTTTCTTCCCACATCCTGATTATTACTAGGAGGCCTGTACATAACTCCCATCAGGGTCTTTTGTCTTTTGTAATTCCTCAACTCTACTCACGTAGATTCTTTGCCTTCCAACTCTCATCACTTCTTAATATTGATTTAGTTTCATTTCTTACTAAAATGGCAACCCTGTCCCCTCTGACTATCTGCCCATCCTTTCGATAGGACATGTATCCTTGGTTATTTAGTTCCCAGCAGAGATCCCCTTGCTGTCATGTCTCTTGGACACCCACAACATCGTACCTGCCAATTTCAATCTGTGCTATGATAGAGCAGAATTTAGTGACTAAATATTTATAAAAAATCAATTAAAGGCTGAGTTAAAGGGAGTTAGTTTTTTTAATGGATGTTGGGTTGAAAAAGAATGTAAAGCTAAACCATCTAATAAGATAGTAAAGATCCCCAAACATTTCACAGACCGTGTTATTCAGAGTTCTTCTGTAGTATCTTAACACTAAGTGCAGTAGATACCTTTTACTTGAAAGATCATGATCCAGTTTTCCATAATTACTGCAAGTGAAAAAAGTGGACTAAAAATTGCTTAAGACCGCTAAAGCTTTCTAATCAGGTAAATCATTTCATTCATCTTTGCTCCCAATTTTTCAATGTGCGAAATTCCTTACAAGCATTGACTTTCTCTTAAATTTCACATGATTTCACCTTTTAAATGGAAAGGTGTTGTCACTGCAGAAAATTTTTTTTTATTCGTATGCAACAGAAATAATACTTGGGTAAAAGAACAAATATTGAAGAAAAACATGCATAACTGTCCCAAATGGACAGGCATCTGAGAATTCCATGTGCTCTGTAGGATGCAGTGCTTCGAGTTTGAAAAAAAATGCCTTAGAAAATCAGCAATGTTCATTTATTCTCAGAAAGGGTCTGTTGTCCTTTAATAAGTCTTCTGCAGATATTGTTAAGTTGACGGAATATTGGTGACTATAATCAACATCTCAATCTAAAAGGAATTTTACGTCTGAAAGTTGACTCTTAAAGATTATTTTATCATTGAGTCAACTGGTTTAAATGAGTTTCTCTGTGTCATTTTTTGTAGACATTTGTTTGAAGGAAGTGACTTCAATTGCAGACAGCTTGTATAATATTCAACTTCTCATAGATTTTTCGAATCATTACCTGAACAAAAGTTTCTATCTCACACTAGAAGACATGCTGTACAGTCCTTTAGTACTGAAGGTAAGATGTACGTAAGAATTGCCTTTTAATTAAAGTAGCATAATTGTACCTATGCATACAGAGGTGGCATTTTTAGCAGCAGGTATTCCCCTGCTGAGGAATTGTGTAATTTAATTGGGTGCTATGGATGGAGGCACTGGATTATCTGCATTCTTTTTGTTTATTATTAGTTCCCCTGAGAGGCTGGTAATGAACTTTCTGTCTGAACCAGTGTGGTCTTTATGATTGTTCTCCTAAAAAAGTGTATGATACATTTGTCCAAACAACAGTGAGGAAACAAAGCAGCAATGCATATCCAAGTAAGGTTTGTGTGTTTTGAAAGGGAATCTGGAAGCAGCAATGTTCCTGTAATGTTTCCATTCTTGCACTTCTCTGTAGTAGAAATCACAGTGCTCAGATCGGACTGTGGAAATTGGGTTACTACAATGTATCCTGTTGTTACAGTTCTTCTTCAGTGGTGAGGATAAATACTGAGTCCAATGAAAGATTGCTGATAAAGAAAGTTGTTGTATCCTGAATGACTTGCAATGGCTTGTTATAGCTGCTCCCAGTCAGATGAGGGGTCAGGAGTGATCAATTTGTGACAGAGTACTCAACCTCTTGCCATCTCTTCTGGCATTGGTGATGCAAAGTAGCATTTTCTATTAATTCTATTGCGTCCTTGTGAAATATGATAAAACAGATGGGTGTAGAAAGTGTCTTTCTTTCTATTTCAGCCTAACGTTATGGTGTTCATTGCTGAGTTATTCTGGTGGTTTGAAGTTGTGAAGCCTGACTTTGTGCAACCAAGAGAAGTTCATGAAATCAAAGATGGTACGTTTCTCAAAAGATTGAAACTTCTACATTCCAATTTCTCTTTTCGTTTTAAAACATAAGGTACTTATGATGTGGTTCTGTATGGCAATTTAAATTGGCATTTTCTTGAGATGTTAGCCTGTCTGCTTTGTATTTGGCCAAGCCAGAGATTTCTTCTAGCTGCTTGTTCTGAATGAAGAATGTGTAACGCGTTTCAAATTTAAATTTCTAAACAATTTTTGTAATATCATAATAACAATCTTTCAAAGTGATCACAAGCTTGTAGACCTCAGCCTAATTACAAAGGGAAGAAATGTCTACGTATATTAACATCATATCTGCCATCTCAATTCAGCTAAAACACTTCTACAACAGAAGAGCTCTCGCCCACCTCTTCCAATTTCCAATGCAACAAAGCGGAGCTTTATGGTCAGTCCAGCAAATGGTCCAGGTGATATGCCAACGTCTGTTTCACAGAGTAGCCCAGAAATTGGAACCAGGTATTGCCTGCATCCTGAAGAATTTGTGTAAGTCTGTCTCTGTCTGTCCTTGCTATCGTGGCATGTCCTGCAGTTGCTTTGGTTTCCACCATGGGTTCAGGTTATATATTACCCGATGTATGGTTGGTAATTTTGTCTTTTCTACTTTTGTGCTGCTAATAATATCTGAACTTGTGCTTTCAAGTTTATGATTTGTAGCATGTAAAAATGTCAAAAATGTCAATAATTTTGATGAGATGAATTGAAGAACGAAAAATGTCTTTTTCCATCTTTGATCAAACCTATCAATATATGTTTGTATTTAAAAGAAAAAGTACAATGGTTCTAAAAAAAACATTCCTTTTTGTGTGCTTTTAATATTTTTAGTAAAGGAAGCCCTGCGTTTAGTCCATCCCATCCGCTATTGCCTTTAAGACAGAGGCAGTACAAATGTCCCCTATCTAGTGAAGACAGCCCAGGTATGATGATTGCATTGTATTCAAATTGAAGAATGTTACTAATGAAAATAAAGAGACAAATTTCAGAAATGCTAGTTTTCCTGGAGGTTTGAGGAAGGTAGGGGAGTAGATGACAGTGATTCTACTAATAGGTGAATTGGGAAGACACGGTGGTCAGGCTTATTATTTATGCAGTACCTACCAGTAATTTTATAATTTTATAATTGTTATGATTATTTGTTGTAACCAACTTGTACGCTGTTCCCATTGTGCACAGGTAGTTGGAGCTATAAAATATGTATTCCACAATTTTGAAAAAAAAGCTAAATGGATCATTAGTCTTTTTTCATAGCGTGAAAACTGTTCTTTTCAATTTAAAACTTTTACTTTTTCACTTCTAGCGTATTCACTTGCATTGTATTACTAATGTTATGACATGGAGACAGACAGCTGAATCAAATCAGCCTTCCTATCTCTGTATTCACAGCACAGTAAAATTAAAACCTTCAAAGACCCTCAAAATTGACCCCAGTGGTTCTTAACTGGACTATCCTAGAGTCCAAATAATCAATCCTATACACTGGATTTGTAGCTTAAACAAAAGACTTAACAATTTATTAACAATACAGTAATTTTAACAGAGCAAAATTAAACAACAAAGTAAAAACCGAAAGAACTGTGGATGCTGTAAATCCGGAACAAAAACAAAGTTGCTGGAAAAGCTCAGCAGGTCTGGCAGCATCTGTGAAGGGAAAAACAGAGTTAACGTTTTGGGTCCAGTGACCCTTCCTCCGAACTGGGTTCTAAGGAAGGGTCACCGACCCGAAATGTTAACTCTGTTTTTTCTTTCACAGATGCTGCCAGACCTGCTGAGCTTTTCCAACAATTTTGTTTTTGTTAAACAACAAACTAATCTAATTTGATGTCTGATTTTAAAGCCAGTAACCTTTGTTTTCAGCCCCATTCAGACAAATAAACACAATTATGGAATAAATGAAACAAAATAACAAAACTGGCCAGATTATTTAAATGGTTTTCACAATGCGTTGCTCACGGGCATGAACGATTGTTTCTTGGTTGATTTTTATGAAGACATCGAGCAGTGTCATCTTTTCAGTTCACTCAAGAAATACTTATCACTTAGTTTCTAGTCTCTGAATTTCCAATAGCTGATAACAGGGAGTTAGGCAGGGAGGTTTCAAACTTCCATGCTGTAACATCAACAAACGTCTCTCAGAAACAATGTTCAAAATCCAGCTCCTCCTTCTGTGTGACCATAATCTTCCTTTCCAGCATTGCTGGCACCAGTTACCAGGTACTGACCTTGTTAATGGCCAGACATCTGCTATCTGGTTAAACATACTGCTTTCCCCATGTTGAAGAGTCTATGGAATCCTTTTGATCAAAAACCAACCCCAGGTAACTTGCAGGCCTAGTTCCCCCAAGAAAACTATAGCTTGTATGTTTTTGTTTTTGAGCTAGTAGCCCAAAGGTTATCTTCAGCTCATTGTTCTCAGTTCACATCTCCAAACGAAAATTGATAAGAGAATAAAAATAATGAAAAATCAGTGAGGGTTCTAAAACAAGTTTTTTTTTTAAGATTGCTGTGAGATGCATCATAACCAGTTTTCAAATCTGAGGGGTTATTTTATTGTAGGTGAAGAAACAGAAGTGTATTTTGAATGCTGATTAGATTAAGTTGATATTTTATGTTAGAGCTTGATACAAGTGCACAGATGATCATATCTGATATTATATCAACTTTATTTCCTCATCAGTTTTCTCCTCTGTCTCTTTCCTGAATGTGTTCATCTTTGTGAGTATATGGCTGCAGAGGTTCCATTTGTCCTCCATTCATCCTCATGGAGCAATTATGGTTATAAGCCTTAAGTAGAGAGTTTTAACAGCTATGTGGCTGTTCAATCATAAAAGCATCAATACTGAAGCCACACTGTCCTGCTATTGTGCATTATCAATAGCATTATCATTAACATGCAAATTCACTTGGCAGTTAGAAATGCAAATGCAGTGTTAACATTCATTTCAAGACTGTTAGAATATAAGAGCAGGGATGTACTGCTAAGGCTGTATAAAGTTCCGGTCAGACTGCATTTGGAATATTGTGAGCAGTTTCGGGCCTTGTATCTAAGGAATGATGGGCTTGTGTCGAAGGGGGTCCAGAGGATGTTCAGAAGAATGATCCTGGAGATGGAGGGCTTGTCAGATGAGAAGCATTTGAGGACTGTTGTCTGTATGTACTCTGTGGAGTTTAGATTGATGAGCGGGGTATCTCATTGAAACTTACAGATTGCTAAGAGGCCTGGGTTGCCTGGGTGCGGAGGAAATGTTTCCTCTTGTAGAAGAGACTAGGACACAAGGGCACAGTGTCCGCGTGAAGGGATGACCTTTAGAACTGAGATGAGGACGAATTTCATCAGCCAGGGGATGGTAAATCTGTGGAACTCATTGCCTCAAAGCTGTGGAGGCCAAGTCATTTGAGTGTCTTTAAGACAGATAGATAGAAAGATTACAGGTAGAAGGCAGTGGAAAGTGATGGAGAAACATATCAGCTGTGATGAAACGGCAAAGCAGAATCAATGGGCCAAATTGCCTAATTATGCTCCTATAATTTGTGGTCTTATGGCACTGCTGAATAGTACTGAACAGTGTCCTTTGCTCAGCTGTTTCCTTTACCTCCCCAAAATCCAAGATCATTGATCCTAATTTTAACATTGCGACCTCCTTTCTGACTGAAACTCTCAGACTCAGGGTCAAACACTTCCTTGAGTATGTGGTCCACCTGCCCACATACAAAACCTTTATTATCAATAGGGCATACGTCTGAGTTTATAAATGATAATTTATATCTAAAATACTGCGTGAACATTCTTAGCTGAGGCTAATAATAATACAACTATGTTTACCTATTTTATATAATTTAAGCATTTTTCTAACCAAAACCTATAACATTGTTACTACCATAATTATTATAATATGCACAGGAATTGGGTACTTTCATGTGATTTAATAGATCTTTGATTCTGTAATAATTTCTCTACATATTCCTGTCTATGTTTTGGCTGGAGACCAAGTCATTTCCTCAGCTATCATTTCCTGGCCATTCTCTACCAGTGCCAACTCGTCAAGCTGGAAATCTGTTTCCAATCTATCGACAATCTGATTTTAGAGGTAGCTTAACATCCCATTTGCAACATTGCCTCAAACTCTTACCTCTTTCCCCTCAATCACTGCTAGCATACTCATGCTTTAATTCCTATTGCCTCTGGGTTGCAGTTCCAGAACCACAGTCATCCTAGTTTCTGATTCAGAAGAGTCAGCATGGATTTCCAAAGGGGAAATCGTGTTAAACTAACTTTCTAGAGTTTTTTTGTAGAAGTGATAAACTTGATCGTAACGTTCTTGATGTGCTGTACATGGACTTTCAGAATTGATTCTTTGATACAGGGCCACAAAACAGACTTGAGGGAAGTTATAGGCCATGGAATAAAAGGGTCAGTAGAACATAGATGCAACATTGGCTGAGTGATAGGAAACAGAGAGAAATGGTCAATAGATATTTTTTGGGCTGGAGGAATGTTTGTAGTGAAGTGGTATGGGACCCTTGCTTTTCCTGATATGTATCAATAATCTGGATCTTGATGTGTAGGAGACATTTTCAAAGTTTGCAGATGTCGCAAAACTTTGAAGAATTGTGAATTGTGAGGAGGCTGTAGACAAGTTAGTGGAGTGGGCAGATGGTGGCAGATCGGTTTCAATGCAGAGAAGGGTGAGGTGATGCATTTTGGTCAGAAGAACATTGAAAGACAATACGAAATCGAGGTACGATTCTAAAGGAGGTGCCGGAGCAGAAGTGACCTGTATGTACATGTACACAGATCATTGAAAGTGGCAGAGAAGGTAGAGAGGGCAGTTATTATAAGAGCATACTGTACAAGAGCAAGAAGGTGATGTCGAACTTGTATAAGTCACTCGTTAGACCTCAACTGGAGTATTGTGCACACATTGTAGGAAGGATGTGAATGCAGTGGAGAAGGTGCAGAAGAGGTTTACGAGAATGGTTCCAGGGATGAGCAATTTTAGCTATAAAAATACATTGAAGAACATAGAACAATACTATTGTATCTGATTTCTACGACCTCCTTTGGCAGCGCATCTACCATCCTCTGTGTTCTTTAAAAAAAAACTTCCTTCGCACATCTCCTTTAAGTTTTCTCTCTCACCTTACAGCTATACCCTTAGTATTTGACATTTCCACCCTAAGAAGTTGGAACTGTCTTCCTTGGAGAGAAGAAGGCTGAAGGGAGATCTGATAGTGGTTTTCAAAATCCTGAGCAGGCTTCCTTTATTCGTTAACGGAATGAGTGTGTCACTGGCTAGGCAGCATTAATTGCCCATCCCTAATTGCCCAGAGTGCAGTTAAGAGTCAGCCACATTGCTGTGGGTCTAGAGTCCCATGTAGGCCAGACCAAGTAAGGATGGCAGTTTCCTTCCCTAAAGGACATTAGTGAACCAGATGGGTTTTTCCCAACAATCAGCAATGTATTCATGGTCATCAGTAGATTCTTAATTCCAGATTTTTTTTTTATTGAATTCAAATTCCACCATCTGCCGTGGCGGGATTCAAACCCCGATCCCCAGAATGTTATCCAGGTCTCTGGATTAACAGTCCAGCAGTAATACCACTAGGCATCCTCCTGAATCACATTATTGTACGCTCACTCCTGGCTATACACGGATCCATTACCCATGGAACCGTGTACTCCTGAAGTTGACCCCAGATTCCCCCCCCCCATTATAGTGCTTGGTGAAGTAGAAAGGGCAGTACTGTTTCCATTCATTAAAATGAACAGAAACAAAAGGGCATAGATTTAAAGTGATCTGCAAAAGAAGCAAGGGTGATATGGCAATAAAAGTTTTCTTTCAGCAAGTAGTTAGGATATGGAATGTGGTCCCTGGAAATGTAATTGAGGCATTCAAAAGGGCTTTGTGTGATTACTTGGATGAAAATGTGTGAGGGTATGGGAATAAAACAGGAGATTGGCAGTAGGTGTTAATGTTCTCGATGCTCATTTTAATGAGCCGGTGCAGGCACAATGGGCCAAATGGCCTTGTTCTGTGCCATAACATTTCTGTGACTCAGATCACATTATTGCACGCTTACTCCTAGCTATATACGGATTCATTACCCATGGAACTGTGTACTCCTGAAGTTGGTCCCACATTCTCTCCTCCCCCCACCCTATTATAGTGCTATCCCTGTTTTTGTGTTTTCTGGGGCAGTCCCTGCTCCTAGTCCCCTGCAGTTAACAAGCTAATAATGCACAAACTAATATTCTAAATGTATCCATCTTCTCAAGCATTACTTTCCCCCTGTGTAAAGCCATCATCATTTCCTTCTGAAGCTTGAAACAAACATTGATCAGGGAATCTGTTGTGGCTGTGTTTCTGACTTGGCCTAACTTTTATGTGTGCATATTTTTGCAATATTTGATATATTTCAATGTGTGGTATATGATATTTTGGGTATAAGCTAAATTAGTCAAAGAAATTCAGTGCATATAATGAACAGCAAATGTTTGGACTCTGATATGAATATCTTCAAATTAAATTGAGTTTGAAGTGCGCTGTTAACATTTTTAAAAAAAGTTTTAAATATTTAGATACTCGACATCGTTCAAATTCCCTAACTCGTGTTGATGGGCAGCCAAGAGGTGCAGTGTTGGCCTGGCAAGAAAGGAAGCCAAGGTAAACATCGGAATACTTTATTTTCACTTGTTTACTGTATTAGTTGATGTTTGCCTTGACTGAAGCTATAAGTAAATGGTATTTTTAAGATTTGATATTATTCTTTAGATCAAATATAAACTGAATACATGCCAAATAATTGCCGCTAAAAGCTGTGGGTTATCCAAGGTTTGAATCTTGTTTTTTTTTTAATTTGTCGCTTAGTCATTACTTGCTTTACGTTTCTTGCTTTCTGGCCTTGAGTTAGCATTATTTCATCACTGCTGAATGGATGAAATAGTCCAGACTGGGATAAAAGTAAAGTTGCCATAGCCCTATTGAACCATAGGGCTGCTATCTCATTAGACAACTGGTAGTGAGTTTAACCTGGGGTCACCATGCCTTGGGTGAGGGGAGAAGTTGAGAAGTAGTCCTTCATAGTAACCTAAACTGGTATAAAAAATTGAATCCAAGCTATTGGCATCACTCTGCGTCACAAGCCAGCCATCCACCCAACTGACCCCCATGTACGTTGATTTTCTCAACTTGATGCTGAATTATTAATTTGTTGATTTGCTAGGGTCAACAAAGTAATATCCCTGTACAACTACAACTAGTCACTTGGGGTTGGAGCCATGGTATATTGATAGAATCTTTATTTTGTGAGATCTGACATGGCATGTGTCCAGCAAACAGATGTTAAACAAGACAAATAAAGATCATTCCCAATAGCTCTGTTAGATGATGATTACTGCTGTTTATTACTATAGACAGGCAGATTTCACTGTTTTCATGATGCAGTCATTGTCTTTTAGCTATGTACCAAACAAACGTATCCTGAAATGCATGTATCTTCAATTTCAGCTGGTATTTGTCAATTACCAGTTCTAGAATGATGTTATACATTTCCAAATGATGCATCTTATAAATCCAATTTTGCAACAGACTTTTATTGCTGTGCATTGGCTCCCTCTACAGCATGCTCTAAGCAAACCAGCCTGTACTATTTATTTATGAAGATAAAACATGTTCCTTAAGATGCAGTTATTCATAACAGAACTATAACTGTTACTCTTATTTTCCAGAGCTTGAGTGTTTCCCATCTATATAATGTTGATATAGAGATATAGAGATATTGGGTATAGCTTTATTTAAATAAGATTTTAGTTATTATCTTTCACCTATCTCGTTGGTACCTATCAGAGTCATAATGTAGTTAATTTTACTTAAACTGGTACAGCATGCAGCACATTGTATAGATTGGCTCCTTTTTGAAAGGATCAAGGATGAAAAGATCTTTGATCTCTGCATTGACACTGTTGCTTGACAATCAATGTAATAATGTAGTCATTGCGTGAGTTTTTGTTTGTAATTCTGTATTTTTCTAATCCACAATATGGTAAATCTATTGAACATATTTACAAACAGTAATCAGTAAATGCACTTTCACAATACATGAATGTATGTATTATTCAGGTCTTGTGACTAATGCTTTTCATTCTGTTTTCAGACCCTTGTCTCAGCCAACACCATTTGCCCTTCATTATGCAACTGACAGTGATGTAGATGCTGGCTCTGGAGATAGCGTCAGTTTGGCTAGGTCCATTAGCAAAGACAGTCTTGCATCCAATATAGTCAACGTAACCCCAAAGCATCAATCTCAGATACTGTCCCCACCTGCAGAAGGCAATGGGAAAAGTTTGCTACGGAATGTTGACTTGGACGATGAGGATGACGAGGAGCTTATTGCAATAATTAAGTCAGATGGGGAGCTGCTTAACAATTCTGATCTTGAGTTACAAAGTGTTTCGTCAAAAGTCACAAGTCAGGCCTTGCCATCAAAGTCTCCCAAAAGACAGCAAAATGACATTGAAGTAACAAACCAATCTGGCGGGTTCTTTTTAGAACCTTTAATGCCTGCAGTCTTAAAACCAGCCAAGGAAAATCTCCTGATTGTTAACAAGTATGAAGAATGTGGAGAGCGAAGATACAGACCTTCCTCAGCAAAGAGAGTAATGGATGGACATTTGCCTTCAACGCGCAAAAAAGCAGTGAATATCAGTATGGAGTCAGACATTAACAGGACTTTCACCCCTATAACTAGCTCTGACTTCATTGTAGTTTCTGATTCAGTCAGTGAAAAGTCACTGCGACATGTCGAAGAATCCGGAGTTTCCTTAAGTAATTTTAGGCCGTTGGCTGGTAGTAGTGTTGAAACTGCAATTCAGGGGGAATCTGGGGGCTTCTTCCTTCATACTGGTGATCTTGAGGAAGGACTGGATGGTGTGTCAATAAATAACGAAACCACTGTAGGAAATAGTAAACCACATGACACAACGTGGATTATGAATATGCAAGATTCTGATTCAGAAGTGCTAGATATGGAAGAGACTGACCAAGATCTAGTTACGGATGAAGAGGTCCAACAAGTCAGAAGTGGGGACAGTGGAGAAGAGGAGTCTAGAAAATTGCATCATGATATGAAGGTGAAGGAACATGAGGACAAGGATGGTGCCAGTGGACGTTCCAGTCCTTGTCTGAGTACGATTTCACAGGCTAGCAGCACATCCATGACCAGTACTAGTATTACAATGACTAACTTTGCTGAGCGTAAACTACAAAGACTTAACAGTGCTGAGGCAAAATCTAGTGCGAGTAGCTCTCAAAAGACCACTCCAGATGGGTCAGAATGTTGCCCTTTACCCATGATGACATGGAGGCAGAGACGAGAACAGAGTCCCAGTAGACAGACCAAAAACAATGCTCAGATGCTGGCCTCTGAACTTGTGCAACTTCACATGCAGCTTGAGGAGAAACGCAGAACAATTGAAGCTCAGAAAAAGAAAATGGAAGCACTCTCTGCTAGACAGCGTCTAAAATTGGGCAAAGCTGCTTTCTTGCATATTGTTAAAAAGGGGAAGAATGAAGGGATTCCTCAACCACTTAAGCCTGAATACGTCACAAAAGAAGCTGAGCTTCCAAGTAATGAGGAAAGTGTTGCTCTAGTATGCCAGTCCCCTAGATCAGATGAAGATTTTGCGAACAAAGAGGATTACTTAAAACAGCTAGAAGAAGAAGGGGCAAAAGATTTGCGTGAGAAAATCACAGAAAATGATATCCAAGAAAGCATTGCGGCAGTTAGGCAGCGGTGGTTAAAGGAATCTTCACAGATAGCTCAAGATGTTGACAAGAACAAGGTGAATTCAAATGGTTTTGAGGATGGTATGGCAGATGTTGATATGAACGAATACAATCGGTCTATTGAGAAACTTAATGAAACTCTGAGCAACCTTCAGTTTGAGATGCACAAGCTTTCGCAGCAGCAGGAGCTCTTGATGAAGCTTAAGGACCAGGCTCCAAACACACCTCTACCAAATGTTAATCGCAATCTGCATGACCAAAAGGTCCGGCAAGCAGTGCAGATTGTGGAACCGCTATCACCTACAGGAGGTAGTCCATCACAAGCTATACGTAAGCAGCCACGCAGCACTCCATTGAAAAGTCCTCGTTCAACAAGGCCAACAGAATTAAAAGTGCCTCGGGATTCTAAAATGCAAGGCTCCTTTCGGATTATCACACCTACACATAATGTCGAAACTCTACCCCATCTACGACCCTCTCCAGGTAGTAAACCATTAAGGTCTGAGATTGATGATATTACTGTTGATGGTGGTGTCAGCACAGGGACTTCAGAAGGCAGATCTTCTAAAGGTTCTGTAGAGCATACTTCTGAAAGGATGAAGGATGCTGATGGCCCAAAGGAAGATGACGAAGGTAACCAGCGGACATCGGTGCTTTCAACAACCCAAAAAGACAGTTATAATTATTTCTATGAACAAATCAACACTGAGGCAGTAATTAGCACCCCAAAGAAAGCTGAATATCCAACACTCATCTCTTCAGATAGATCAGGGAAGGAAAACATTCCTGTTGAGGAACAAACCAAAAACAAGGCAAACCTCATTGAAGTAGATATCTCTGAACTGAAGGCACCAGCAGAAGGCGAAACATCCGAAAGTCAAGGCCTTTCCACCAGTCATGTGATCTGCGAATCTGATCAGAGGTCTGGATTAGGCTTTTTCTTCAAGGTTAGTCATACTTAGACTTAAAATGAACTTTAACAATTTTACACAATTTGCAAGATAACAGCATTTGTCTTTCAGGAAAGTATTTTTCCACATGGTGGTTTAGTATTTCTCACCTCTTGGCACCCGAGTGCTGTGATCTTCATTGATTTAAGTAGGTGCTGAAGGTCCTGTTGCACTTCTTGGAAAAAGACAGAGTTCTCCCATATTGCAACCAGCATTCCTTTGCCAACTAACAATGGAAATAGATCAATTGGTTATTTTGTACACTGCTGCTTATGAATTTTGTCATGTATTAAATGGTATCATATCTTCCTGCATAACAACAAATGTACTTGCACATCTATGTTATTTAGTACGCATAAAATCCTTTGGGAGGCTTTCAATAGACATTATAAGACACTTATATAAGCAAAAGCCTTTTGTCATGTATATGGAATTAATTTCATTCTCACAAGGATCACTTTATTCTGTGTGACAAACATGGAGTTGGTAGCCTGTGCGACACTCGGTAAAATTTGAATGAAATCTTGTGAAGTGACTTTTTCAATTGATCACCCTCAACATCAATTTAAAATAATATCCAATATATTTCTTGAACTCTTCAGGAAATACTGAGCAAATGTGAACATTTCAGAGCAAGAGATCTTGCAGCAAGTATTTTATCTCCTGACTCACCAAAGCCTGTCAAACATTTGCAAGGCACAAGTGAAGAGTGTGATTGAATATTCTCCACTTGCTTGGATGAGTGCAGCTCCAACAACACGCGAAGCTTGACACCATCCAGAACAAAGCAGCTCACTGCATCCACTCCCTCCATCTCTGATACTCAGTAGCAGCAGTGTGTATATTAACAAGAACTGCAGAAATTCTCCAAGGATCCTTAGCACCATCCAAATCCATAACCATGCTTTAGTATCTGCTGCCTTTTTGTTTCTACGTGAGAACACCACTACCTGCAAATAAGAACCCTTAGTAGCATAAGTTTATAGAGCAGGGACAGGAATGGTTGTTGCAGGTGCCGGGGTTTAGATGTTTCAGTAAGATCAGGGAAGGTGGTAAAAGAGGGGGAGGTGTGGCATTGTTAGTCAAGGACAGTATTACGGTGGCAGAAAGGATGTTTGATGAGGACTCGTCTACTGAGGTAGTATGGGCTGAGGTTAGAAACAGGAAAGGAGAGGTCACCCTTTTGGGAGTTTTCAATAGGCCTCCGAAAAGTTCCAGAGATGTAGAAGAAAAGATTGCAAAGATGATTCTGGGTAGGAGCGAAAGTAACAGGGTAGTTGTTATGGGGGACTTTAACTTTCCAAATATTGACTGGAAACACTATAGTTCGAGTACTTTAGATGGGTCAGTTTTTGTCCAATGTGTGCAGGAGGGTTTCCTGACACAGTATGTAGATAGGCCAACAAGAGGCGAGGCCACATTGGATTTGGTACTGGGTAATGAACCTGGCCAGGTGTTAGATTTGGAGGTAGGTGAGCACTTTGGTGATAGTGACCACAATTCGGTTACGTTTACTTTAGCGATGGAAAGGGATAGGTATATACCGCAGGGTAAGAGTTATAGCTGGGGGAAAGGCAATTATGAGGCAATTAGGCAAGATTTAGGATGCATAGGATGGAAAAGGAAACTGCAGGGGCTGGGCACAATTGAAATGTGGAGCTTGTTCAAGGAACAGCTACTGAGTGTCCTTGAGAAGTATGTACCTGTCAGGCAGGGAGGACGTGGTCAAGCGAGGGAACCGTGGTTTACTAAAGAAGTTGAATCTCTTGTCAAGAGGAAGAAGGAGCTTATGTAGAGATGAGGCGTGAAGGCTCAGTTAGGGAGCTTGAGAGTTACAAGTTAGCCAGGAAGGACCTAAAGAGAGAGCTAAGAAGAGCCAGGAGTCTTTAGCAGGTAGGATCAAGGAAAACCCTAAAGCTTTCTATAGGTATGTCCGGAATAAAAGAATGACTAGAATAAGATTAGGGCCAGTCAAGGACAGTAGTGGGAAGTTGTGCGTGGAGTCTGAACAGATAGGAGAGGCGCTAAATGAATATTTTTCGTCATTATTCACGCAGGAAAAAGACAATGTTGTCGAGGAGAATACTGAGATACAGGCTATTAGACTAGACGGGATTGAGGTTCATAAGGAGGAGGTGTTAGCAATTCTGGAAGGTGTGAAAATAGGTAAGTCCCCTGGGCCGGATGGGATTTATCCTAGGATTCTCTGGGAAGCTAGAGAGGAGATTGCAGAGCCTTTGGCTTTGATCTTTGTCGTCATTGTCTACAGGAATAGTGCCAGAAGACTGGATGATAGCAAATGTTGTCCCCTTGTTCAAGAAGGAGAGTAGAGACAACCCTGGTAATTATAGACCAGTGAGCCTTACTTCGGTTGTGGGTAAAGTGTTGGAAAGGATTATAAGAGATAGGATTTATAATCATCCAGAAAGGAATAATTTGATTAGGGATAGTCAACACGGTTTTGTGAAGGATAGGTCGTGCCTCACAAACCTTATTGCGTTCTTTGAGAAGGTGACCAAACAGGTGGATGAGGGTAAAGCGGTTGATGTGGTGTATATGGATTTCAGTAAAGCGTTTGATAAGGTTCCCCATGGTAGGCTATTGCAGAAAATACGGAGGCATGGGATTGAGAGTGATTTAGCGGTTTGGATCAGAAATTGGCTAACTGTAAGAAGACAGAGGGTGGTGGTTGATGGTAAATGTTTATCCTGGAGTTCAGTTACTAGTGGTGTACCTCAAGGATATGTTTTGGGGCCACTGCTGTTTGTTATTTTTATAAATGACCTGGATGAGGGCGTAGAAGGATGGGTTAGTAAATTTGCGGATGACACCAAAGTCGGTGGAGTTGTGGATAGTGCAGAAGGATGTTGCAGGTTACAGAGGGACATAGATAAGCTGCAGAGCTGGGCTGAGAGTTGGCAAATGGAGTTTAATGCGGAAAAGTGTAAGGTGATTCACTTTGGAAGGAGTAACAGGAATGCAGAGTACTGGGCTAATGGTAAGATTCTTGGTAGTGTGGATGAGCAGAGAGATCTTGGTGTCCGTGTGCATAGGTCACTGAAAGTTGCCACCCAGGTTGATAGCGTTGTTAAGAAGGCGTACGGTGCGTTAGGTTTTATTGGTAGAGGGATTGAGTTTCGGAGCCACGAGGTCATGTTGCAGCTGTACAAAACTCTGGTGCGGCCGCACTTGGAGTATTGCGTACAGTTCTGGTCACCGCATTATAGGAAGGATGTGGAAGCATTGGAAAGGATGCAGAGGAGATTTACCAGGATGTTGCCTAGTATGGAGGGTAGGTCTTTTGAGGAAAGGCTGAGGGTCTTGAGGCTGTTTTCGTTAGAGAGAAGAAGGTTAAGAGGTGACTTAATAGAGACACACAAGATGATCAGAGGATTAGATAGGGTGGACAGTGGGAGCCTTTTTCCTCAGATGGCGATGGCTAGCACGAGGGGACATAGCTTTAAATTGAGGGGTGATAGATATAGGACAGATGTCAGAGGTAGGTTCTTTACTCAGAGTAGTAAGGGCGTGGAAAGCCCTGCCTGCAGAAGTAGTAGACTCGCCCACTTTAAGGGCATTTAAATGGTCATTGGATAAACATATGGATGATAATGGAATAGTTTAGGTTAGATGGGCTTCAGATTGGTTTCACAGGTCGGTGCAACATCGAGGGCCGAAGGGCCTGTACTGCGCTGTAATGTTTTATGTCTATGTTATCTCTTCACAGATCCAAGTTCCCTGAAAGTGGCAACACAAGTAGATAAGCTGGCCAAGAAGACATATAACATGCTTACCTACATCAGCTTTAGCCACCTGAAGCATTTCTCTGTATGATCACTTGGTCATTGCAATTGATAGAATTAGTTATTGAGTTGTGCTGGCAAATAAATGAGTGTTACCAGTTACATTTGTTGATTCAATGCTACCTGAATCTGCTATTACAAATCACTAATGTTTACTGGCTCACTGTTAGAATCAGAATACTACAAATTAGAGGGGCTCTGTATTCTCAATATTCCATTTTGTCGAATTATTGTTCAACAAATTTTGTTCCTATTTATTTTGTATGCTCAGTTAGTGTCACAATTTCACACATGCTATTTTGAGTAAAATTCATTGGCAGCACAGTCCAATACAAGATGTCCATTTTAGAAATTGGAAGGCTTTTTGTTGACATTCACAATGCAAGATAACTCCAAAATTAAGGTAGACCTATCCTGAAAGGTTTCACCTAAATTGAACACTTAAGATGAAAATCTGAAAATGCTGATGTTCTAGGATGCAATCAGACAAGAATGGTTAACTTTTAGAATTTGCTACACAATAGAGACATATATTAGAGAAAACAGCTTCAAACATCAAATGAGCACATCAAAGTAAAATGGTTAAAGAGGAGGATCTTGGCTGGGATCAATCTGGTACTACAATTGCAGAAGCTAAATGCTGTTCTTTTAAAGGAGGAATGGATGTGAGAACAGTCTTGTGGATGATTGTACGCAAGTAGTTAAGGGTGGCAGGATAGATAACAAAACAGTTAAGAAAACCTGTAGGAACTTTAGTTTTATACCTGAAGAAATAGAGCTGAAACTTTGGCAAAAGTGGGGATAAGGGAAGTGTGGGGAGTGAAGTGGGCACAGAATTTCATGTGACTGGCTCCATCTCACCCATGAACCATTTTCCCAGAGAAGGAATGGGAGGTGTGGAAGGACTGACTACCTGTCCACGCATTGTGGGTGTCTTGTTCATCCAATTAAAGGTCTATTAAGGCTGTTGGAGACTCATTGATCAAAATTTTCTAGTTGGCTTTCAGATTCAAAAAGGTGTTAGGAAACAGTGTATCTTCCTGGTGGTGACCTGAGAGTGGTAGACGTAGCAGCCAGCACTCTAGCTTAGAGGCCATGATGGGCTGAATAGCCCCCTTCTGCACTCTAACAATTTTGTGATGTTCTAAGTGTTACAACAGTATTGTAATTCTGTTTGGTTGTGTTTCATATGTGAGGGATATTTTCTGATGAACTGGACCTTTGACCCATTTATAAAATGTGTTTTATTTTGTGCTGTGATGCAGACATGCTACAGCCAGCCACAGGTAGGTCTGTATACATCTGGTGTAAAAGTGAGGTGTTGCTTAAAACAGTTTGGAAGTTAAATGAGTCTGGGTAGGAACCATCATGTATTTTACAGAAATTGGAAGATTAACGAGCAGGAAGTACAAGCATATTTTCTGTCTGAATTCAAAACATATGACATTTTTGTGTGTTGATTATGAAGAATTCCATTTAACTTTAACTTTTTGGTGTTCTGCCTGGGTTCAGAGTTCTGGCACTCTGCAAACATGTAATATGCTGTTCTGTTTCTGCTCAAGCGCCACCAAGTGGTGAGAGTTGTGAAACTGCATCTCCTCAATTTATAGGGTACAGTACACTACTGTAGTGTCAAAAATTGGGCAACAGAATATTCAGTACTAGCCCTGAAACTTTCTATTACTTCAGCGTAAGCAGACATGTACGAAAATTGAATGGATCTTTGATGAAAGTTCCAAGTCCTTTCATATTCCAATTAGCCAAAGATATTTTAGAAAGGACACAAATAGTGTCATTGCATGCTTTTTATCTGACTTGCCACTGACTTAGGTCACATTTGGAGTATTGTGTGCAGTTTTGAGCCCCCTATCTCAGGAAAGATGTACTGGCTCTGGAGCAGATTAAGAGGAGGTTCGCGAGAATGGTCCCAGAATGAAAAGCTTAACATATGAGGAACTTTTGAGGACTCTGGGTCTATACTCAATGGAGTTTAGAAGGATGAGGGGTGGATCTAATTGAAGCTTAGAGTAATGAATGGCCTGGACAGAGTGGATGTTGGGAAGATGTTTCCATTGGTAGGAGAGACTAGGAACTGAGGGCACAGCCTTAGAGCAAAGGGAAGACCTTTTAGAATAGAGATAAGGAGAAACTTGTTCAGTCAGAGAGTAGTGAATCTATGGAATTCACTGCCACAGAAGGTTGTGGAGGCCAGGTCATTGAGTATATTTAGGATGGAAATAGATAGGTTTTTGATTGTCAAGGGGATCAAGGGTTATGGGGAAAATGCGGGAGAATGGGTTTGAGAAACTTATCAGCCATGATCGAATGGTGGAGCAGACTCGATGGGCTGAATGGCCTAATTTCTGCTCCTATGTCTTATGGTCTTATAATTTACAAGCATGTTCCAACCTGTAAATGTCCCTTAACAATCAGTAATTAAGCTCAGTAATCTGTGGAGGTGCATTTACTGCAACTATATTTTGTGGCTTTAAAGAATAGGGTAATTTCACTTCAGAGTAGAATAACAAAGCATGTTGCTTGATAAATGAGATAACAAGGTGTAGAGCTGGATGAACACAGCAGGCCAAGCAGCATCATAGGAGCAGGAAGGCTGACGTTTCGGGCCTAGACCCTTCATCAGAAATGGGGGAGGGGAAGGGGGTTCTGAAATAAATAGAGAGAGAGGGGGAGACGGATAGAAGAGAAGATAGGTGGAGAGGAAACAGACAGGTCAAAGAGGCGGGGATGGAGCCAGTAAAGGTGAGTGTAGGTGGGGAGGTAGGGAGGAGATAGGTCAGTCCAGGGAGGTCGGACAGGTCAAGGGGGCAGGATGAGGTTAGTAGGTAGGAGATGGGGGTGTGGCTTGAGGTGGGAGGAGGAGATAGGTGGGAGGAAGAACAGGTTAGGGAGGCGGGGACGAGCTGGGCTGGTTTTGGGATGTGGTAGGGAGAGGGGAGATTTTGAAGCTTGTGAAATCCACATTGATACCATTGGGC